TTTTTTTGTAACGCTTTGTTACAGCAGGCACACAGGCCTAAGCATTACCTATCTTTTTTTAAACAAGGTCAGTGCAGTGAAGCAGGAATTGTGCAACAGCTAATGAGCTCTTACCAGATCCTTCTCTTCACCCTTTTTGCTGTTCTAGCATCAACAACTGTCATCTTTCTTAGTAAGTAAAAACACATGGTGTGCAGCTAATCATTAAACTCCAGGAAAATCGGGCTCTTTACTTTTTCCCTTGTGATCTTTCATAGAACAATAGGACAGCCCTCTGTTCAAGGTAGGATCATGCCTGTTTAAACCATCCCAGACAGATATTTGATTACCTCCACTTAAAACTTCACAATGGGGTAGATTCTACCACTTGTAGGGAACCTGTTCCAGTGCTTAACCACCCTTATAGTTAAAAGTTTTTCTTAATGCCCAACCTATAAAGCTCCTTTTGCATACCAATATTATATTTAGCTTCAGTCCCTGGTAACTGTTAGATCCTTCCCTGAATACTGTAGTAGTCCGTTAGTGCCTGGCATTCTGATCTATTGTATAAGGCTTTTCCAACTCTACCAAAAATGCGTATTTTTTTTCTTCCTCCATAAAGTGCAGGGAACAAGACACTCTTACTTGCAGTTCATCTTAAAACTGGTCAGTTGGGAACCAAAGTTAAATGAATCCAGTGTCCCTGCAGCTTTTTGCAGATTTAACCATAATATTTTGAAGGAGATGAGCTGCATGTGGCATGAGCGTACATAATTTGGATTGTTTCTGCAGCTTACAATGCCTTTCTGACAAGAGTGCAAACTGTGCCCATTGTGTACATTCCCACCTCTGCCGCTTCTCAGACAGGTAAGCTGGACTCTCTTTTTAATTATTTACAAGTCCCAAATTCACCTATTGCTCTGGCACATGATCTGGTATTGTGTTGGGGGGTCTCCTTGTGACCTCATCAGCTACTGAATAAGCTCATGTACAAAAATGTAACAGCCTCCAATGACCCACACTACCTCAGTGGCAGGGAGGAGGAAGCAACTTCTCTTTGCATGTACAACATGTGGGAGTGAGTTAGACAGTTACACTAAGAACAAGGTGCCCCATACAGAAAAAGAACTTGGGAGTTTAGATGCCTTTTTCTTTAGGTCTCAGCAGTGATCTTCAGTAAATTCCTATCTAGCCTCCAGCTTTTAGTCTGAGCTACCTGCTTTCCCTCATCTTCAGGGTATTATTCTCCTATGAGTCCTCAGCATCGCAATGGAAGAAATAGGATGCAGCACTGGCTTTGGAGCGTGCGGAGATAGCATAATGGAAGGAAGTGTCTTTTTGTACAGAATAAACCAGTAACAAAGTGTGTTTGTCCTTTCTAGTCACTAGGCTTTTACTAATGATTAATGGAGTGTTCATGGGTACAGGGTAAAGTAGCATGCTGTTTGCTCACTGCAGGATCTTGCATCAGGAACTCCCCCATTTTGGGGGTGGAGGATGGTGAGTACTCTGGTAGCTACCAAGCAGCAAGATCTACCCACCTTTACCACTAGTTTCCTCCACCTGAGCATATATACAAGCCTTATGCTGGTCAACATCAACACTGCAACCCCTGTGAGTATAAGGTTTCACTCCAGTTGGCAAGGTATTTCCTTTTCCCCTCACAGGAGTGCTACGTGGTTACAAGCAGCAAGGAAAAATAAGAAACTGACCAGTGTGTTTTATCCAAAATTTATTGAGAATGAGATGGGTGAGCCTACACGGACAGTAGGACAGTCAGTCATGTTCTCCAGCCACGTTCTGGTTCTGCAAAGCACCTGGCCCATCGCACCAGTGCTTTGAGGTAGAGTCCTGTGCTCCTAGGGGCACATGTACCTGCGTGTGGTCATTGTGCGGTTAGTCCCACCTATCTCAGAGATGCTCTTGTTTAGGTTAGTGCTGCTTTCGTCTGAAGGAACATCCTGAATAGGAGAACAGGCAGTAAGCATCGTGAGAATATAAGGCCACAGGTAAGTTAGCAGGACTGACCAATTGGTGGGATTCTTTCAAGACTCAGAAACTTTGATTAGCAGAAGCTCAGCACACCCATGTTTCAGACCCTCCAAAGCAGAAGGTTTCCCTAGATTTCCTACTTTGGCCTGTGGCCACTTTGCCCATCTGAAGTGGTAGATAGACAGAACACACTACTGGAGGTGACAACAGCAAGAGCTCCAGGGCTGTGCAGAAATAGGGGGTGGCAAGTAGTCTCACTGCTCAGAGAAGAGCAGCCTTGAAAGGCAAGTCAAGCCAGGTGTTCTTTGGGGGTGTCAACAATTCCAAAAACCTGCATCTCATAAAACAGTGGCAAATCCATTAGAGCAAGGAGGTCAATAATACTGTTCATCAACAGTAATTACCTAATAATTATTATTTTTTTTTAGGCTTATATCCTACCTTATCCAAGAAGAGCTTATTAGAACAAGACTTCAAGTTTTTTGTCTGGCCTTTGCTAAGGAATCTTTTGCTGTCCAAAAAAAGCTTAAGATTGGATTTTTAAATCCCAGTTTATGCAAGAGAAAAAACCCCATCAGGGCTGGGCACTAAGAAAGCATCCACACATTACCAGCTCTTATAAAGAGACAGGAGACTGCCATTTACCTTCTGTAAGCCTTGCTTTTCCTCCTGTGGGCTGGCACAGCACAGTTGAGCAGCCCACGCACAGAACCACAGTCTGAGCATGGCTGAAGACAGTGGTGATTTTATAGCAACCTGAAAGGAAAGCAAAGCCTTGAAACACGCATGTTTCCTGGTCAGAGAACAGCAGCAGGGCTGTGTTCACCACTGGCCAAAGTGACAAGTTGCATCTCTTACAGGTGGTTACAGCCACACTGGTCTGAGGACACAGGGAGATGCAGTTCTTTGTTGCACTAATAAAAAGATACTGCATTTATTCAGAGTAGGTGGAAAGAACTGGTCTTTCAACTGCTTACTTGGTCTAATCAAATACATCACATCTACACAATTTTAGGTGCATTTTATCTGGGCTAGGGCCTACTATGGGCAGGAACAGGCAGGGGACCACAAGCCCCTTGGTACCTGCCTGACACCAGCCCTGCCAGGGAAGGGGGAGGCTCCGGCACTGCAGCTGTCCCCATGGCAGACACCGGGCCCCACACACACTTCCCCGGCGCTTGCACGGCTCGGGCCCTCCTTACCGGGACACTTAACGTCCATGAAGTAGGAGTT